ATGTTTGATGTTCTCGGCTGTATAAGGATCATCCACTGTTGGTTGGAAAAACGTTGTCTGGTCACCAAAATAAGTCGGATCTTCTTGAAACTATGTTTGTGCAAACGCATAAGGTTGCGGTTCACGATCAAAGTAAGTTCAAGGATTAAAGCTTGAACTCGCTCCTAATGCTGGTTTGTGAGGTTGGGAGCTCGAGGCAAAAGTTGACGCCCCTAGCCATCTCAGTCTGCTACCAACAACCTGGAGGTGGAGGAGGTAGATCTGAGGTGGTAAGGTTTGGTGTTCCGGTGATGACAAGGTTCGATGTGGTCAAACTAGAAGGAATGAAAGCTATCACATGAGATGCAGTCAGAATATTTCCTGCGTTCAGAGGTGTGACATGTGTTCTCGATGTTCCCGGTGGTGAGTTCACAGGTGTGAAATCCAGATGTGTTCAGGGAGGTGGGCTCAAAAAGGTTCCTCTCCCATTTGGGTGTTGTGTTCAACCTCTAGGAGTGTTGAGCTCTTCAAAGCAAGCGTTTATGGGCCACTCTCAACCAGAGAGTCGTGCGGCTAGGTTTTGAGTAGCCAAGTCATGGTTTTGATTGGCTAGCTCCTGATTTTAGGAGCGACCCACCAATAGATAGAGCATCGCACGGATTTCTGCCTGCTTTTCAGCCTCACGTCTTGACATGGTAAAACTTATTGGCAGTGATATTTGTGCCTGACCAGATCTGCTCGTGGTAGCTGGTGGATCCTCGGATCTTATCCATACTCTATTGCCGGTGAGCTATGTCAGGTTTGAGAGACCTGAGCTCACTTCTGCCGTAGGAGCTCTCGAGTTGGTTGTTATTGGAGCTATGGGAATAGATGACGAGGTCGATCCAGCTGTTTCGGTTTGACTCAATGGTTCAGTACTTGCTCTGTTAATTTCTAACAGATCTTCAATGATCACATGCTCATGAATAGCAATAAAGGATGTAACAGTATTGCTTGTTTGGGTTGTGGCAGGATTCATTTCATTTAACGAATCTTTGATCCGACACTTAAGATATAACAATCTATAATCTTCCCCACAGACTGCACCAAATGTGAAATCCAAACCTCACATCATGGTTTTATAGTAATTTTAAGTAGGAAAAGAGGGCTAGATCTTCTATGAGTTAAAGATGAAATGTAAGATCAAGAACAAACAAGATTTATATTAATTGGGTGATCAAAATGATTACAGAGGATCTCGAAAGAGATGTCTTTAATGCGAACTGTATGTTCTTAGGTTTACAATATATGAGTTTGTATAGGTAAAAGTAACGAATGCTGGCTCTTCCTCTTCTCCATCCTTCAATCTCTTTATATTTCCTCTTTCTGCTTGACTTTTCGAATATCTCGGTATATCTTGATTTAACGACTTCCAGAGATCTCAGACTAAGCTGTTTCCTATATGAGACTGAATAACTGTGTTGACTGATTCTTCACCAAGCTCATAGCTTTTATGGTCGAGTTGAGAAAAAGTCAAGTTATGCTTTGCTAGTAGCTCGTCGATTGATAAGATGGGCTTCAAACTTTGGATCCTAATTTCATTGTTCAGTGGACTTTTAAGTTGGGCCAGATTTGTGACAAATCCAACACCAGCACAAAGTATACTTGTCTTTTTGTAGTTCATTCAAACAAAATTTGGGAAAAGACAGAAATGTACTATTCAATGATCGAACACATGTTTAAACAAGCTTAATAATCTCAACGCAGTCCAAATTGTACCAAAGAAAGATGTCGTACCTCATATCTGATATATTTACAACATGATAAATAAATAAAAAAACAACATATAAATCTTTGATTAAAGTTGGTAGGTCCTTCCTCACCCTCCGATTAGCTCTTAGCCAAATATGTAACATTGTTATTTATATGTGTGATGTTAGGATTGAACATGGCTCATTGTGATGTTAGGATTGAACATGGCTCATTCACGTCGGATTCACCAAGCGAATTCCACAAATTTTTAAGTGCTCTGGATAGCCGTGCTGTAAATAGTTGATTAAAAATCTTTAATGGTGATGTTATGGCTTCTGAATTCACCAATGCATGAAATTCATCAAGTCGATCATTCCATTTTTCAAAAGGAATGTCATCGAATGTGAATATCATGACTTTTGAAGCAAACTGCTTTGATGGTATTTCTTTATATATGGGGCGTGTGTAATCTCCTCATAACTTGAAAAGATCTCATTTATATTTGGTTCTCTTTTTGGAGTAGCTGATCCTTCACCTATAGCGAATTGATTTGGGAGAGACACCTCGTCTGAATATCTCCGTTCTCAATGTAGCTATTGGAGCTTGTATTAGAGAAATGCTTGATCACCGTGATTGGCTGTGACGAACTGACTTGAGGTGCTTAGGCCTGTTCTTTAGATGCAATTTCACTAGAAGTGTTGCCGAGAGTATCGAGCAGACTGGACATCGAAAATTTAATTATTCTGATATCCTTGTTTTAAAATTGTACTCGTTTTGGTTTTGCCTGATTTGTCCTCATTTTAAAATTGCTAACTGAACTTGTGCCATAGTGGAATGTGAAAGCTTCGTCGGATGATAAGAATCCATGGAGAGAGGACTTTGTCTTTTGTTCTTGATAACCAGAGAGAAATCCTAAGGAGTAGGACCCTTGATACATAGGTATTTATGATGGCATACTTTCAAGAGGATTAAAATATGTATTCGCTTGATTCCGATTATGAATCATGCTTTCTAATCTCCTCTTAAGATATTTAAGCTGATTTTTGAGGCTAGCTGTCTCAGCTTCTTTGTTTCGGAAATTGGACGTATTAACCATCATGTGTTGTACCATAACCGTCATTTCTTGATGACGATTATTAAGTCGGCCATGGATCTCCATTATTGGGCTTTGTAGGCTGCTCAATCTTTTGTTGTAGCTATCAGCAAGTTGATCAACTTTATGGTTTCTGTTGTTAAAAGGTTATTTTGAACTAGGGCAAACTCCGTTTGCCAATTGAGGACCCTTTCTCCTTGGCTTAGCTGGCCAGGTCCAGAAGAGTTGATGGCTCTTGTGAGGATTGTTAGACTATGAGCGATCTCGTCTTTGTATCATCATAATTTTTGGTTCTTCCCTTTTTCTAAGTATTGGACTATAAAATCGTATTTGCCATCACCTAATGATCTAACAATGGGATTGCCTCCGAGATATCTCTTATAAAGAGGATCTTTCCATTTTTTTCGTCTTTGGCGGATTTCTTCGTCAGATTCGTGCACTTCTTTCGTGCGAGCAGTGCAAGAACATTCACCAAAGTATTGATGTCCATCCTCATCCATGAAAGGATATACGACTGTTCCGTCATGACCAAAAGAAAATAGTTTTGGAACTTGCTTCCTTAATGAACCATGGAAATCGTGTTCATCAATTTACTATATAGTTGCTTCCGAAACAATGATGTTCTTGGTTTTTCGAACTTGATCTTTGTTGTTCCATCATTTCGAGAATGGAAGCTGACTTCAAATGTCTGGACCTGCATCTGGTTTGCTTGATGTAGCTTTTCATAGCTCGTGACCGAGGATTCTGGTAGTCGATGCAGTAATTCGTCGTGAGAGATTTATCGAGGAATTTGAAAAAAGTTGGGTGCTTGCAATGCTGATGTGACTTCGAGGTATAATGCTTCATCAGATGATTGTTGTGCAAGATCAAGAGCATGATCTTGGATTCGATAGACGATCAGATGGTGTAGGGTAGCTACGATGCTTTATCTTGCATAGGTGCTCCGGCTAGTTGCAATTGGACTTTGAGCGTTTGTAGCAGATTGGGATCCTTCAAAGTAACATTAATGTTTGGAAACAGTGTTACGAATATTTTCCTGAGTTTAATGTTGTTTAAACCATTCCAATGCAAGCTTGTTGGTATGACTTTAGTCTTGAGTCGACTAAAACTATGCGAGCTACCACTAGTAAACCTTTTCGAGCGTGTAAGGCCAGACCAATTCGTACCACCCCAAAGTGCAGATGAGTGTATCCTTGCTGCTGCCAAAACCTTGGTAGATTTTCTGGAATGTTGAGTGAAATAAATTGTTCATCTTCAGTGGATGGAACTTGACATGATGAGAATTTACTGGATTGGACATTCTCCATGACTCTTCTGTTTGAAGATTGTCTTATGAGTTTATTAACACCTTTTACTGAAAAGGCGCTAGGCTTTTTAGCAAAGTATTCGTATGGATTCACCAGTGGAAGGGTAGTTTCAGGCAGTTGATCTCCTGGAACATATTCAATTTCATATAGTGAATTTATGCTGGAAGAGGACGAACGACTTTTGTTTTTTGTAAAGTAGAAATTGAAAATGGAGAATCGATGGATAAATGATTTGAAGTAGACATGGTGAGAAAGTGTTTTCCAGAATATTCAAAATTATCAATCATAGATAATGATTCTTTATAACAATTTGAAAGCATTGGGCTCTGATACCATTTATATGTCTGAACCTCTAAGATATCTTGTTGACTAGAGTCGTGTTGACCGACAAGAGCGATAATTTCCAAGGGAGCTGTATTGGGCAACTACTGACCTATGATTTGCTCAACCACAGTTAGGAAACTTACCTTCATACGAAAGTCTTGTTGACAAGAGTCGTACTGATAAACCAGAATGCTCAATCAAAGATTTGCAGCAGAATGGCGTTATTCTGATTATAGAGAGTAATCAAAGCTTTTGAAGATGTTAGGAAGTCTGGAAAATGAAAGAGTTTTAGAGATTCATTTTGGAGAGAGAAACAAATAGTAGTTTTTTTAAAGAGAAATTCTGAGGTGGTTTGTTACAATGGGAGTACACACATATATATAAGGGAGGAATGGCGCGCTGACATAAGCACTTACCTCATTCCTACATTATTTGTGCGATTACATCATCACCTACATCATCTTACATTATTTGTGCGATTATATCATTGCTTACATCATCATCATTGCTTACTTATTTAAACACGCTTATTAATAATTATATATGATGAAGTAGTTAGAATTACTTCATTTAGTGATCCATTTCGGACTCGGTGATATGCTTGTCGCAACAGCCGTAATGATCTCCTGGACATTCGTACTATTCCTCTGCTTCTTCGAAGCTTTCATGTGGTTCTGTATTAACGTCGATGTTGTACATTTTCCCGATTTCAGAAATATGGATAGCCCTGCCGTAAATAGTTGAATAATAAGCTCTAATGGTGATGTTATGGCTTCTGGATTCATCCATTCATGAAATTCGTCATGTCGATCATTCCATTTTTCGAAGGGAATGTCATCGAATGTGAATATCATGACTTTTGAAGTGAACTGCTTTGATTGCATTTCTTGATATATGGGACGTGTGTAATCCATATCCTCATCACTTGAAAAGATCTCATTTATATTTGGTTCTATTTTTGGAGTAGCTGATCCTTCTCCTATAGCGAAATTCTTTGGGAATGACTCCTCGTCTGAACTATATTCGTTCTCATTGTAGCTATTGAAGCTTGTATCAGAGAAATGTTTGATCATCGCGATTGGCTGTGACGAACTAACTTGAGGTGCTTAGGCCTGTTCTTCAGGTGCAATTCCACTAGAATGGTTGCCGAGAGTATTGAGCAGACTGGCCATCGAAAATTCAATTATTCTGATATATTTTTCTTTCTTCTTTGTATCCTCAGTAGATTTGTGGCTCGAGGAGGAGGTAAGAGTTGGTCTTTTAGTTGGATTGACCAGGAATTCTGAGTCCTTCTGTCTTCTTGGTTTTGCCTGATTTGTCCTTGTTTTAAAATTACTAGCTGAAGTTGTGCCATAACGGGATGTGAAAGCTTCGTCGGATGATAAGAATCCAGGGAGAGAGGACTTCGTCATTTGCTCTTGATAACCAGAGAGAAATCCTGGGGAGTGGAACCCTTGATACATAGATATTCCTGATGGCTTACTTCCAAGAGGATTAAAGTATGTATCTGCTTGCTTCAGATTATGAATCATGCTTTCTAAGTTCCTCTGAATATCTTTTAGCTGATTTTTGAGGCTAGCTGTCTCAGCTTCTCTGTTTCGGAAGTTGCACGTATTAACCATCATGTGTTGTGCTAGAGCCATTATTTCTTGATGAAGATTATTAAGTCGGCCATGGATCTCCATTATTGAGTTTTGTAGGCTGCTCAATCTTTTGTTGTAGCCATCAGCAAGCTGATCAACTTTATGGTTTATTGTTGTTAAAAATTAATTTTGGACTAGCGCATTCTCTGTTTGCCAATTGAGGACACTTTCTCCTTGGCTTAGCTGCTTAGGACTCTTGTGAGGATCTTCGGACTATGAGCGATCTCGTCTTTGGTGAAATCTTCAGTTGGAGGGAAATTTTTTGTTTGCATCATCATGATTTTAGGTTCTTCCCGTTTTTCTCAGTATTGGACTATAAAATCGTATTTCCATCACCTAATGGTTCAACAGTGGGATCGCCTTCAAGATATCTCTTGTAAAGAGGATCTTTCCTTTTTTTTGTCTTTGGCGGATTACTTCATCAGATTCGTAGACTTGTTCTGTGCAAGCAATGCAAGAACATACATCAAAGTATTGATGTCCATTCTCATCCATGAAAGGGTATACGACTGTTCCATCCTGACTAAAACAAATTGGTTTTGGAACTTGCTCCCTTAATGGACCATGGAAATCGTTTTCATCAATTTGTATAGCAAATTGAGTGAACAGTTGCTTCAGAAACGATGGTGTTCTTGGTTTGTCGAACATGATCTTTGTTGTTCCATCATTTCGAGAGTGGAAGCTGCCTTCAGATGTATGGACCGGCGTCTAGGTTGCTTGATGTATCTTTTCATAGCTCGCGACCCACGATTCTGGTAGTCGATGCAGTAATTCGTCGCGAGAGATTTGTCGAGGAATTTGATTAGAGTTAGGTGCTTGCGATGCTGATTTGACTTCGAGGTATAATGCTTCATTAGATGATGGTAGTGCACGATCAAGAGCATGATCTTGGATTCAATAGATGATATGATGGTGTAGGGTAGCTACAACGCTTTTTCTTGCATTGGTGCTCCGACTAGTTGCAATTGGAATTTGAGTGTTTGTAGCAGACTGGGATTCTTCAGAGAAACATTAAAGTTTGGAAACAGTGTTACGAATATTTTTCATGCATTTAATGTTGTCTGGGCCGTTCCAATGCAAGCTTGTTGGTAAGATTTTAGTCTTGAGTCACTAAAGCTATGTGTGCTACCACTGGTATACCTTTTCGAGCGTGTAAGGTCAGACCAATTCGTACCATCCCAAAGTGCAGATGAGTGTATCCTTGCTGCTGCCACGACCTTGGTACATTTTCTGGAATGTTGAGCAAATGAACTGTTGTTCTTCCTTGACTGGGACTTGACATGATGAGAATTTACTGGATTGGACATACTCTATGACTTCTGTTTGAATATGGTTTTGTGAGTTTACGAACACCTTTAACTGAAAAGGTGTTAGGGCTTTTAGCAAAGTGTTCATATGGATTCACCAGAGGAAGGATAGTTTCAGGAAATTGATCTCCCGGAACATATTCGATTTCATATAGGGAATTAATGCTGAAAGAAGACTTTTTTTTTTAGTAAAGTAGAAATTGTAAGTGAACTGTTCTTCTTCAGTGGTTGGGACTTGACATGATGAGAATTTACTGGATTGGACATACTCTATGACTCTTCTGTTTGAAGATGGTTTTATGAGTTCACGAACACCTTAACTGAAAAGGCGTTAGGGTTTTTAGCAAAGTATTCGTATGGATTCAGCAATGGAAAAGTAGTTTCAGGCAATTGATCTCTCAGAACATATTCGATTTCATATAGAAAATTTAGGCTGAGAAAAAATGAATAATTTTTATTTTTTAGTAAAGTAGAAATTTAAAATGGAGAATCGATAGATAAAAAATTTGAAATAAATATGATGAAAAAGTGTTTTCCAAAACTATAAAAACTATCAATTATAAACAATGATTCTTTCTATCAATTTGAAAGCATCGAGCTCTAAACATCCAACCCTACCCATCAAAAACGATTGAAAAAACACACACATTAATAATAACTAGACTTAAATCGTTTGAAATTATCAACATTAATATGTGTGAAATTATCTAATGTATGTGTGTGAAATCCATAGTAAAACCGATAATATATTCCCTAAATGTAATAACGACAAACTGACAATTTCAAACGATTATATATTTCATATTCTAATTATCTAATGTAATCGTTTGATTCCAATTTGTTGGAAATTATCAACAAAAAGTTATATTCCAGTAATCAACATTAATATCTGAATCTTTACAACGTAAAATGATATGAACTCAGTTATGTTTTTTTATTACAATAGGTCATTTGACACCATATATATTCCTTATGCCGTTTTGAAACAAAATAATGCATGATTCTCCTCAACATAATATAATTCTACATACACTAGACATCAAACATGTTTGTAAGTTTATAGCAAGTAATATAAAATGCAATAGTCAATGAGAAATAAATCCTTCGTTTTATGCTACTTGATGAAGAGAAGTGTGTTATTGCCGACACTAAATATGTGTTCAAGTGAGCAAGTGATACACAATATGCTCCCATGCACGCATTATGCATCTCGTTTCGAAATTATACAGCTCGATTCACAGACTCCTACAATCATTTTACAAAGCGTTGACTTTCCTAGTTTACCTTCATCAAATGTTAGTGGTTAATTAAAATCGTGTGGTGCAAATGTGCAATAATTTTTGTAAATAGTGTGAGGAGTCTATGAATCAAGGTCAAGAGATTGAGTTTTACAATCTACAAAAATCGTTGTGGTCTTTTTTGTTCAATGTAATTGTTGTAAATTCTAAAATTACTTTAATTTTTACAAATTTTGGGAATTGCTGTAGATTTTGGGTTGGAATCCAAATTATCAAAACAAAAAGAATGTCGGTGACTTTTGTTTTATTGAAAAAAACAGCAAAAAAATGTCATTATTAGGAAATATATTATCAGTTTTATTATGGAGATCTTTTCCCAGATTTCTTAAATTTATTTTCTATTAAAAACTGTTGGTCGCGAGCTTAAAATGGACTTCATGCTTAATATGGACTTCTTAATTTCATCTCTTCCTAAAACGTAATTTGTTTTATTAGTTCACTCCACCCGCATCATAAAAGTCAAATGACACTTTGGATATCCCAATGTATCCCACTTTTTTGAGACTTTTTTCTAAACTTCATACAAACATTTCGTAATACTATTTTATTTCTACAAATCATAAAACAATACTAAATACATATTCGCGCGATACGCAGATTCTTATTTTACTATATATTAAAAAGTTTAGTTATAATTTATTTTATTGTATATATAAATTTTTCTTAAAAATATGAGTATTGAAAAAAACATATAATATGTCGTATTATATGGATATTATTATATATATGATAAATGGTTTATTGATTAAAAAATGTAAAAATATGTTATGCTTTATATATATAAAATAAATTAAATAGATATACTACAAATTAGAAAACTATTATATAACAAAAAGTAATTAAAAAAACTATTCAGCAAAATATAGCGTAGACACGACTTTTTTTAGCAGGTCGTATTTGTTCATGGCACAAACTATTTGAATATTTCTAGTCACTATTTTCTCGGTCACATAACACACCGCAATTCTCAATTTGTTTTACTTTTATTCGGATTATTTTTGTGAGGTTTCATTACATTAACAATAATTCGAAAAACAAATTCATCAAACATATAAAAACCAAAACAAATATGTTTTTAATTAGCACACAATTGAACAAAAAAATAATCAATTATTCTAACATTATTTATATTATAATAATAAACTAGGTGGTTGACCCGCACGGTCATGAAAAGTTTAATAAAAATTAATCGATAATAATATATAAAAATTATAATTAATAAGTGATTGACTTGTTCAGTAATATATTTGTAAAAAGTTTTAGTTTGTGAAACAATTATTTAATATGTTTGAGAAATTATATATAGAAAAACAAATACACAAAACGTAAAATACTTTTTAAAACCGTAAAATAAAATAAAACGATTCTTCGTTTTCTATTTTTTATTCATAATTTAGATTTTTTATAGTTTTTTTAGCTTATTTCTTCACCTTTCATCCCGTTTCTGGTTCGTAATTCTTGCTATATAATTGGCATAAATTCAGATATAATATAAACTTTTGTTCTTTATTTATAGTGAAAAAGATAAGATGAAAATTAGAGTGAATAAATTCTCCTTCTAAAAATCTGATTCCGTAAATTTCATACAAATACTTCAACTTGTTAATATTTTGCTTAAAACTTAATTAAAATAAAATTTCAAAAGTTTTCATCAAAAAACCAATTTCGCAAATTTTTTGCCAAAAACATGAATAAGTAACTTTCGCACCAAAAAGATTACATTTAAAATATGATCTAAAATTATTTTATCAAAATTTCGATTTTGTGAATTTTCCGCGAAAAAGTGAATCCATAGAAAAATTTGCCAAAACTTTTACATTAAAAA